TCCCCCCCCCGCTTCTCTTGCCTCCTCCGATTCCCTATAAGTGGATCCTGCAAGGGTCTGCCTCTGGCTCCTCGCGATTGCCGGGGGTGGTGGTGGTTGGGGGGGCCCGGCCTTCCCATCCTCCAGCTGTGGGGCCGGGGAGGGAGGGGGAGCCGTCGCAGGGGAGCGGGATGGGGACCCCAAAGATTTTGGTGCGCCTTCGTTGCCCTGCCCGTCTTTCCCTCTGCCCGCCTTCCTGCACCTCCCGATCTGTTCCAGGAACTCTCCTAGGATGGAGAGGGTCCCTCAAGGCCGCTCTCCAAACCTTATAATACTCAGCAGGAGGAGAAACTGCCTGGAGGTGCCGTCCCTGGCGGGTTTTCCAGCTTCTCGGCAGGCCCCCATTCTAGAGATGGATGTGGGGCTGGATGTGGGGCTACCCCGGCAGAACATCCAACCTATAACCATGCCTCCTCCACCCCTCTCTGGGTCGCCTCCTGGGCCCGAAGAGCCACAGATGACCCTAAACACCCCACCGAAGAACACTCTCGCCCGATGGCTGAGGAGAGGGCCAAATGTTTTCCAGCTTCTCGGCAGGCCCCCATTCTAGAGATGGATGTGGGGCTGGATGTGGGGCTACCCCGGCAGAACATCCAACCTATAACCATGCCTCCTCCACCCCTCTCTGGGTCGCCTCCTGGGCCCGAAGAGCCACAGATGACCCTAAACACCCCACCGAAGAACACTCTCGCCCGATGGCTGAGGAGAGGGCCAAATGGGGGTCCACCCTTGAATAAGAGGTCTCTGGGTCATCCCAGGACCCACCAAAGCTCTCTGATTATCCAAGACACACTGTAGGGGCGTCCTTCCCCCCCCCGTCGAGCCTGCCTGGATGGATCAAGCACCCCACATCCAACAAGACTCCCCAAAGCCTCCCACTAAGGGGTCTGGAACAGGCCAGCATCAACGGGCACACACCAGCAGCCCCTGCACGGCTCACTGGCCGTTACAAAAGCCAAGGACTCAGGATGAAGTACTATGGGGCATCTTGGCTACGAAGAGGAGGAAGCCATGCCACCCAAACCGAGGACACCCAACGGGACTCACCGAGGAGAGTGGCCACAATCCGGCGGCCGAGGAGGTCCGATCCGTTGAGGATTTAAAAATCACCCAAGAATAACGTCCAACTGTTACTGGCCAAGCCCTCGCTCTGGCGAGACACAACCGGCTGAACCAAAATCTAGTTTTATTATGTGTGTGATCTAAAGTCAGCTGGGACTTCTTTTAAGGGCAGAGAAGACCCCCGAGGATACAGTGTGGAAAGGAACTTTATACCCTAACAAACTAAGACCCAGAAAGTCTTACAAGCTCATTGGGTAAAATCTACTTAATACTATTTGGATCCTACACCTCATTGGGTACAAATGGATAGATGTATGGGGGAGGGAAATGCCACTTCCCCTTAATGACCTTCTTCTCTAGGGATGTGTCTGGAAGAAAGTGTCTCGCAACTTCCTTATCTTATTGATATATTTATGTTACCCAGCCCGGCCCCTTGATGTATGGCCTTCAGCCTCCCACTCCCGGCTGGGTTTTTTTTGGCCTCTGAGCGCATTCCTAAAGTCGGGCATCTGCTAGTTGAAAGGTGGCGATGAAGTGGGGTGGAAAGAGCAAAATGTAGGCATTTGACTAATTCTCAAAGCCAAGGAAGAGATAATAGGGAAGGGAACATAATACAAAGAATAATAGGGCCTTCTATTCCATAGCCAGGAAGGAACTATTTTCGACATTACCCAGGTATCACTCCTTCCTCTTTTCAGTTTCCATCTTTTGCTTAACTGGCATGAACAATTCTTTGGACCCACAAGCTTGGGAGGGAGGCTGGCGTTCCCACAAAGAGAGGTGCCCCCTGCAACCAGCACTCAGAAAAGTTACCCCTTTTCTGGTCTACAATGGCCCAGAATTTCCAGCCAGCCTGGTCCGTGACCATATTGGATCTGGAGGTTTGGGGAATTATAATCCATGGGGACGACAGTCCCCATTTTGAAACGCGCTTTAAAAAGCAAAACCGGGCCCTTACAGGCTGCCAAGATTTTTTGGAGCATTTAATATATATTTTTTTCTGTACTGTGCACAGCTGGGTGGTGTCCCGCCTGGGGAAGATCCATATAGCTCGAAAACTAGCCTTTGTGTAATGGTTTTCTTAGCGGCTTAATAAAGGTGTCGCTCACCCTCACCTTTGAAGAGTATACAAGCACTACACAGCTTTTAAAAAATGTTCTTGAACTATGTGCTCTGCAAACAGATTATGCCTCAGATATACAAGCACTACACAGCTTTAAAAAAATATTCTTGAACTATGTGCTCAGGGATTGACTCTCTCTTTGGAGATGCTTCACGGAGCCACTGCATTTAATAACGTCTTCTGCACCTGAATTGTAGCCAGTGATTTGTAGGAAGATCTGCAAACAGATTATGCCTCGGGTCGGTCGGTCGGTCGGTCGGTCGGTCGGTATACAAGCACTACACAGCTTTTAAAAAATGTTCTTGAACTATGTGCTCTGCAAACAGATTATGCCTCAGGTCTGTCTGTCTGCCTGTCTGCCTGCCTGCCTGTCTCTCTGTCTCTCTGTCTCTCTGTCTCTCTGTCTGTCTGTCTGTCTGTCTGTCTGTCATATTTTTGCCTCGCCTTTCTCCTTAAAAGGACCCAAGGCAGCTTACATTATTAAGAGGCAATATTAAAGCTAACAACAGCGACTTTAAAAAGGTTCATACAACTTTTATACTAAAAAAACATAAGCAACAGCAAAATGCCTTCAAGGCAGTAAAGGCACAAAACCATCCTTTAAAGAACCCCATTCAGGCAGCCGGCCCCTGAGGGAAAGCCTGCCTGAAGAGGAAGGGGTTCACCTGCTTGCGGAAGGAGAGCCAAGATGGGGCCAGCCTGTTTTGCAGTGGCAGGGAGTTCCAAAGTCTGGGAGCAGCCACCGAGAGGGCTTTGTGGATTCCATCGTCCTACTAGATAAATGTAACAGTACAATAGCAAAACCATGCATCTTGATGCTGCGACCAAGTATAAAAGATGTTATGGTTTTGACAAGAGTCTTTTCTTTGCTGGGAGAGGCTTATCAAAGTCCTTTTGCCTTTCGACCGTTGGTTCTGTCCAAGATATTTTCCAGCAACGTCGACCAAGACGTTCTCCAAGCTTGTGACTTTACGAGTGACCAAGGTCAGAGGATCAAGAGAGAAGGAGATGCAGCATCCCTCTTGGAGTTTATTTGTTGCATTTATTTGTTTGAAATATTTTTTTACCCCATGTTTCTCTTTAAAAAGTGGGCAACCTTAGGTTCTTTTCTTAAACAATGGTTTGTTTTCTCACTTACAAATGTCACAAACTTTCCTCGTCCTTCTTTTTTCTTCTTCTCCAGAAAAGCACCGAAGCGGTCAAGATGAAGGGGCTTGCTCTGGCGATCATGCTGTTGAGCGTTTACTGTCTGGAAGGTATGATAAGATAAAAGCCTGCCACAACTCACAAGCGAGGCCTCTGAAAAAAAGGGGACGATGATCCCCATGTGTGCTTATGAATGGACACACAATAAACGATAAAGCACCAGGGCCTCCCTATCTGCGGGATCCATATCCGCTGATTTCCCCGATCCATCGGCTGCAAATTTGAAACAACCCCTCAAAATACCCATTTAGATTTATTTCAAGGGTGTATTTTCCAGAACTGGTCACTAGAGGGAGCCAGAGATCATGAAAGATAGTGATCCAATAATAATAATAATAATAATAATAATAATAATAATAATAATAATAATAATAATAATAATAATAATGAATGAATGAATGAATGAATGAATGAATGAATGAATGAATGAATAACAACAACAACAACAGAGGGAAAACTCAGGATCTGAAGAATGCATTCCGAAACCCGCGTTTAGGCAAAAGAAATCTCTCAAGATCCACCTGAACTTGGGAGCAGGGCTCTCCTCACCTTCCCTTCCTTCCTTCCACCTTCCAGGCGCCGTGGTGGAACAGAAGCCCGAAGGCGAAGCACCGCCCCAGGTCCCTGACATTACGGGGGCTTTGCAAGAGTACGCCCAGGTCCTCTCTCAATATTTCACCAGAGAGGTGGTGCCCCAGGAGAGGTTTGAGCAGCTACGAACCCAAGCCCAGTAAGTCCTGCGATCGCCTCCCTTTTCCTGGGGGGGGGCTCGTGCCCACACCTAGGGGTGGGAGAGATGATGCCATTCCTCCTCGCTCCACCACCACCCGTGCCCGGACGGCTAGACACAACTCTGGAAAAAGCGATGGGGAAAAAAGTGAAGCTTAGAAAAAGTACCTTGGGGTGCTTTTTTTTGCTACAGAACAGGAAAAACCTGCTCTTGTTGGACTACAACTCCCATCAGCCCTGGCCGGCAGAGCCAACGCCAAGGGAGGCTGGGAGTCGTGGTCCAGTAATATCCAGAGGGCAGCCCCACCCCGCCCCGAGTTGAGAAGTAAATTATCTTATCTCCACTTATATGGGGAAGAGTGTACAAGAACAGGCTCACTGCCCCACTGATTCTGCCCCCTCCCACGGGCCTTCCGTGGGGTGGTGTTTCAGGCAGCGTGTCGGAAATGGGACTTGGGCGTTCCAGTTTGTCCACCTCAGTGGGTGAACGTGGATCATCCTTTTTCTTTTTTAAAAGTCTGATTTACCTCGCTGGGTTGTTGTGAGGGCAGAATGAAAGAAGGCAAGCTACGGCTATTGTCTTGACCGCACGGGAAGAAAAGCCGGTTGTAGCTACAGTAGGACCACCCTATCCGCAGGATCAGTATCTGCGGATTCACATAGCCACTGCCTGAAAATATTAAATAAAAAACACAGCTACAGTAGGACCACCCTATCCGCAGGATCAGTATCTGCGGATTCACATAGCCACTGCCTGAAAATATTAAATAAAAAACCACGTAACCACCGCCTGAAAATATTAAATAAAAACCCCCCAGAAATATCTATTTACTGTATTTTTCCGTGTATAAGACTATACTTTTGTCTAAAATCTTTAGACTAAAAATTGAGGACCGTCTTATACACGGGAGTAAGCTGAGGAGAAAACAAAGAAAAGTGGAGGGGAAAGCAGGGATCAAAGCGATCCTGCAGCGCTTCGATCCCTTTCCCCCTACACTTGCTAAGCCCCACTTATTTTTCTTAATTTTGGATTAGAAAAGTGGGGGGCGCGTCTTATACACAGAAAAATACAATACAATATATAGTATGTATGTCAGTGATGTATTTACCAGAACTGGCCACTAGAGAGAGACAGAGACCATGTGTTAGCTATTTCCCCATTTTTTTTCCCCAGCAGGGGAGGTTTGGAACTGATCCTCCATGGATACCACGGTCCTGCTATCTAACTCATCAACTAAGAATTAAATGTTACTGAAGTGGCAACCCCACCTTTCCTCCACCCTTGTCAGCCGTCCCGGCTGCTAAGCATCTTACTCTCCCTTTAATCTTATCCAGCAGGGTTATTTTTTAAAAAAGAGGCTGATAATGATTACAGTTAGAAATGGATCCTCTGGTTTCAGGAGCAGTGTATCTCAGAAAAGCAGCTTCTGGGAGTAACCAACGGAGTGGTGGTGGGGAGACATCCACCGTGCTTGCGGGCTCCGTTCCTCGGGTGTGGTGGGAAATGAGAATTGCGACTTAGGTCTGACCTTGTATTTGATCCATACACGTTGTTTCGTTCAATTGCAGGGCATTTGCTCAGCAGACCCTGAAACCTATAACTGACCAAATGACCGAGACGTTCAGCCAGTTTCTAGAGTCTGTAAAGGAATCGGTGATGAAAGCTGCCACATAAAAAGTCTCTTCTTTAATGAGTCCTCCAGCCCAAGCCCTGGAAGAAAAGCTTTGACAAGCAAGCACCTTGTTATAACACGAAGACGGGTTTCAAATCTCTATCAGGCTGCAATAAAGACAAAGCAAATTTTATCCTGCATCTGTTGGGGAATTTTGGTTGTTCCTTTTAGTTAGCAGAGTATGAAGTCGAAACAGCAACAACACAGAAATTAGGAGCGATCAGCTCAGTTTCATTAACACCTCCCACATACACATGGTTTTATGGCACACAAACCAGCACTTTGCATGCCAAAACCTCTCTAAACCAGAAAAGAGTATTTTTACTTACAGTTGCCATCTTTAGTTATAGTCAGAAGGAAAAGAAGAAGAAACATGGAATCTTTAGCATGTGGAAAAACCCTCTGTGCATGTTGCATGGAGGAAGGTCAGAGACAGAAGAGAGCCATCATCAAAATAAGGCAATGGAAGTAATCAAACAAAACAAACAAACAAACAAACAAACAGGAAGAGGTGGGGTGGGCTTGCTTTCAAATGCCACAGTAGGGGAAAGAATTCTACTAGTCATGTTAGTGGAAAAGGAGAAATCACATTAGGCTGTGATTTTACCCAGTCAAACTACAAAGTTAACCAACAATTTCCTAGAACAGATGAAACGGCACAGTGTTTGTCTTTAATCTTGAATTACTTCTGCAGCATGTTTTTCAAACTCCCATTATTACATCCAGTACAGCACAGTTTTATCTATCTCCTACACATTATAATACAAACGGATCACATTCAGGCTCTGTATAAATTGGACCGGAGCAGGACACATGTGTACCTCAAGTAACAACAGAAGATTAGTTAAACAAGGGTAGGCTTCCCCTGTAACATACAAACATTATATATAAATATTATAAAATCTTGCAAGTTCGAAAGGGAATGGATTTCTTCGCCTTTTATGGATCATGCAGGGGAGAAGAAATTGGTAAATTGGTGAACGCTTGCTTGACCTAAGCGCACCAAAGAGGCTGCCGGCAACAGGATGATCTTTCCTCTGCAATTTATTTCACAGGCGGTTAAGCAACATACAGGGAAAGGGTGAGGAAGAGAGAAAGAGATCATTGTCTCCTTCTGCTTCCTTCCCTTCTTATGCTGTTGTTTAGTCGTTTAGTCGTGTCCGACTCTTCGTGACCCCATAGACCAGAGCACACCAGACCCTCCTCTCTTCCACTGCCTCCCAGAGTTGGGTCAAATTCATGTTGGTCGCTTCGGTGACCCTGTCCATCCATCTCATCCTTTGTTGTCCCCTTCTCCTCTTGCCTTCACAACATCAGCGTCTTTTCCAGGGTCCTTCCCTTCTTATAGACGGAGGTAAACAAGTGATCATCATACTGTAATTCGAAGACACAGGCTTTCCTAGCCATGTATCAAGAGATGCACACTTTTTGCATCCCATGCTTCATCTGTTACTCCCTGGCCTTACAGCTTTTCTGTCTCACAAAAGACACCCCTTTCCTGATAACAAATGTGTTGGCTTTCCAGTGAACATTGGGGCCCTCCTGCAGACGTGCAGTTTCACAGGTCTTGAAGGCTCAGGGCAGAAACCCAACACGGAGTTTAAACAGATCTAAACTACATTGCACAACACAGTCAGTTTATTTAGGTTATATAAATATAATTGGACATTAGATTCCACCGTGATGTGACGTTCCTTCTTTTTTTCCTGTTCTTATGGTAACTTGGAAGGAATGAGAGTTGGCACCCCTCCATATTATAAGGGGACTGCTTTCTTCTACCGTGGGAACAACACAAATCTTTGGCTCTTTAGGCATGTTGGTTTACAATTCCTGTTCGCGCCACTCAGTAAGGGACTCTACGATTTTATAGTCCAAAACATCTGGGGGCCAAAGTTTCCCACTAAAAGGGGGAGAGCTCCACCTGTTGAATTCCTGCCTGCCCAACAGCTGTTACAGATCTATCATGTTCGTTTGCTGAATAACTCTTTTCAACTAAACAAAGGCATATATGTGTGTGTCATTTTGTTTGTTTATTTTTAACTGATTTGGAATCCATCTGCACCCTGATCCCTCCGGTCTATTACAGAATTAATTAAAATACATTATTTCTGTAACGAACACACTAAAGAAAAAGGCAATAAACATTCAAACATAAATGACAAGGCACTCCTAAAATTCTTTATCTTGTACAATACAGCTCTTTACATCTCAAGAATTCTTATGACAGTTCTTAAGAAGATTATGTGATTTCCCCAATTATGAGTCTATAGCGCTGAATAAATATCACTTCCGCCCTCAACCAATATGGCGGCTCCACTGTTCGACCAGTTTTCCGCCCTTAACGATCGTGCCCTCCGCGCTGCTCTATCCCTTTCCGCTACGTCGACTTCGCCCTTCACAAAGATGGCGGCCGCTTCCCACGTCCTTCAGCGGGCGTGACGTCACTTCCTGTTCCCTTCCCTTTCCTCGCCCCCCTCTTTCCCTGAATAAAGATGGCAGACGAGGCAACCCGCCGGGTAGTGGCTGAACTGCCGCTGCTGAAGACGAACGCGGGTCCGCGGGACGGGGAGCTGTGGATTCAGCGGCTGAAGGAGGAATACCAGGCGCTCATCAAGGTGGGCCCGGCTTTGCCGCCGAGGGAGGGGCGGGAGAAACGCTGGATGAGTGACGTGGGCGTCCTAAGGGCTCTGCCTACGGCGGCTCTAGAGGGTCAGTTCCCGTCAGAACAACATATTTCCTCTTGATTTCAAGTGTTTTATGTCTCTTACTTCTTGAAAAACATTTCTACCTCGAAGCTGGGAGCCGCCCCGAAGGCTCCCGAAGTGGCTTAACCCTTTGCTCTCTGGTGTACAGGCTCATTTTAAGTCATGGCATGCAAGGAAGAAGGGAAGAGGAGGGAGGAGGAAAAAAATGGGGATCAGGTGGAATGAAGTGCCCGAAGGAGGCTCAAAGGCACCTGTCAGCAGGAATGATGGCAGATGTCGGCTTCTTTCTGGCCTGCAGCCACAGTTTTGCATGCTTTTCTCTTTCTGTGTCCGATCAAGGGAATGCGTGGCTTTCCAGACCTTGTGGGACTACATGCCCCATGACACCTGATCAGTGGAGCCCCTGGTGAGGGATGCTGGGCGTGGGTGTCTTAACAGCCTGTGGGAAGAGCCGCTATCGCCCTTTCTCTGTGCTGCGAATCTGCGTGGCTAACCAAGGAGCCCTTATTTCTCGAGTCTCGGAAAAGTCCTACCGTTCATGTATCCTTGAAGCCTTCCTGTGCTTTAGCACCTCGATGCTTTGCGCCTTTCCAGATGCTGCCATGAGCTTGTTTGCAGTGATTCCCCCCTTTCTTTCTTTCTTTCTTTCTCTAGTATGTTGAAAACAACAAGAACGCCGATAACGACTGGTTCAGGCTTGAATCCAACAAAGAGGGCACCAGGTGAGTGCAGAAAAGCCGGCGCCCAAAACACATGGTTTGTGGTGTAAAAAGCCTGCCGGTAAATAAGTCAGTCTTCTATGTTCATAGACCGTGTCTGCTTTCTATATAATAACAATAACCATATGCTGTCCAATTAATTCTGACTGATGGTGATCCTTTCCAAGGTTTTCCAGGTAGAGAATAGACAGAAGTGCTTTACCCTTCCCTTCCTCTAGGGGGAGCCCAGGGATTGTGCAGCTGGCCCAAGGCCACCCAGGCTGGCTTTTCTCCCTTGGAGGCATAGTGGGTCTCGAACTCCCAACCTTAGGCTCTGCAGCCAGAGAACTGAACCACTGAGCTAAGACATTTTCCTGTGTTCATGCACCACATCAGTTTTCCTTATACTACTATTTCAGGATTCGTTCTGCAGTGTGAAAGCATCTTGATCCGAGCCGGCAACTTAGATTCAAAAAAATAGAAGCTACAGATGCAGCCGTATATGCCAAAAGCGATCGGCAAACGGGGAAGTCCCAAAGCTGATCTTTTCCTTTGCCATAAAAAAAAATAAATCACCTGTTAATCTTGGGCAAGACCCTTCAGTCTTGGCTCCTTATCCGGACCAGCTTGGTTAGGATTCAGTTGCAAAAAAACCACTTTATGGCTAGCTGAGGCGTGGGAAGCTCTTTGAATCTGAAAAGGTTGCACACATCCTGAGTGTGGCAACGGAGGTGTTAAGGTTTCTTGAGGAATGTAAATATAATTTTGCTTTCCTTTTTTTTTTCCTTTTTGGTTTCCTTCCAGGTGGTTTGGGAAATGCTGGTACATCCACAATCTCCTGAAATACGAATTTGCTGTTGAGTTTGACGTGAGTCTCCCACTGTGTGTTCCCTTGAGGCTTAATTTTGGGGGGCATCTGTCCCTTGCACGGCGGGTCTTGGCAGTGAGCGAAACCATCTGCTTATTGGTGTGGACCACCTGCATTCCAAATAACTGAAATCCTGGCCTATTGAGTATCCTTTCTTTTGTAGATTCCAGTCACGTATCCATCCACAGCGCCGGAAATTGCCATTCCAGAGCTAGATGGGAAAACAGCGAAAATGTATAGGTAACATATACCTTCTTCCTATATAATCTGGCTTCTTTACACATTGTGGTTTTAATTTGTAAAGGCTTAAATGGATTGGGTTCAAGCTATCCCAAGAAGTGTTTCTCCCTTTATGAGTCTGCCTGGGTGTTAAGATCATACCTCGCTGGTACATTTGGTGGGGACACGGGAGAGGGCCTTCTCTGTGGCTGCTCCTAGACTTTGGAA